GGATCTCAGCTCACTGCAAGCTCCGTCTCCCGGGTTTACGCCCATTTCCTCCTCAGCCTCCCGAGCAGGCTGGGATTACAGGCTTGAGCCACCGCGCCCGGCCTTTTTGTATTTCTTACTAGAGACAGGGTTTCACCGTGTTAGCCAGGATGGTCTCAATCTCCTGATCTCGTGATCCACCCGTCTCGGCCTCCCAAAGTGCTGGGATTACAGGCTTGAGCCACCGCGCCCGGCCTTTGCCCTTTCTTTATAGCTGGGTTTTGCTGATCAATTCTGCATTTTTGACAATTCTCCCTCTTTACAGGGAGAACCACCACTATTATTTTCTCTTTAAGTAACTGAAAAAATATTTCTTATGTTTATTGAGCTGTCTCATTACAGTAACAGACTAGCTGGATCACTGGGGATATGACTTTGGGATATATGTTTTAAAATAGGCACAGAGGCTGAGTGCAGTGGCTGACGCCTGTAATCTCAATACTTTGGGAGGCCTAGGTGGGTGGATCATCTGAGGTCAGGAGTTTGAGACCAGCCTGGCCAACATGGTGAAACCCCGTCTCTACTAAACATACAAAAATTAGCCTGGTATGGTGGCAGGTACCTGTAATCCCAGCTACTCAGGAGGCTGAGGCAGGAGAATTGCTTGAACCCGGGAGGCGAAGTCTGCAGTGATTCGAGATCATGCCACTGCACTCCAGCCCTAGTGACAGAGCAAGACTCCATCTCAAAAAATAAACAGGCACAGAACCTTTCCTTCAATTTATACAAATTAGGCATGTAATCAGTAAATATGGTAAAATGATGAAAGTATACACCGTAGAAGAGCAGGCCCAAGGCTAAATTCTAAACTACTCATGTAAACATTATAATAATACTAGAGAGTTGTAGAGTATACTGATTTAACTCAGTGTTGCAGTAGAAGAAAGGAAGAAAAACTATTTGAACAACTTGGAGGCAGAAAACTGGGGATCCAGCTTTGGAATTTACTTTATTGGTGACTGTTACTTCTCTAGCTTGTCACCCACTTCTCTGAGCTTGTCACACCTACTGGAATAAGTAGAAATTATTATTCTTTGCCTAGGTTAACAAAATATATATCTCCAGATAGTAAGTTAGTTGCATGTTGGCATCTTCTAATTCAGAGGTCTAATATGTAGCATATTGGTAAGGAGGCACATTCATATTTCTGGGTGGTAGGGAGCCCACTTTCATCCATTCATCTGCATTCCTGTTCAAACTAGCAAGTGTGTCTGCTAACATTAGGTTGCCAGAAAAAAGATGTGAGTAAACCCCAGTTCCACTGAGCTCCTATGAAGGTACCACCTACTACCAAAGGACTTGGTTGAAGATAATGAGCATAGTTACCTTTTTTTTTTTTTTTTTGAACTTTTATCTTTCAGATGGCATTGAGAGTAACCATCTGTTTTTTTTGGCCTCAAGTTCCATATTGAATTTTTTTAAATTGCATTTTGAGCAATAACATTTCCCTGGTTTGCTTAACCAGTTATACAAGTTGAGACTTCTGTCTCTATGCCTATTTTATAATAGCTTCTCTGGGAGAAGAGATGAAAAATAAGCCAGTTAGATATTTTATGAGTATTGAAATCCTTTCCATTCAGAAATGTAAATAAAACAACCAGCATGAGCAATCAGCTTATGTCAGATTCCATGGGTTTATGTTACATAGGGAAATTATAGTGCAACCTGAAACATGCTTCTTAATGAATTCATAGTGCTGTCACAGTTGAATGTAAACCCTTGAGCTTTTGTGAAGGGTTTCAGAAATCACCCTTTATAAACTACCTAGGGGAGGGAAGAGAACTAAGATGATACTCACAAATGCTATCACTGTTTTGTGGCTGCCTCCCTTCCAGCACCAAATTTTGCCAATTAAGTAAAGCAGAAACCTAGAATATGGCACACATTTTGGCTTATTCAATGTGCACACACACACTCAGTGCCACACTGGGTCAGACCCACAGTTCAATACTCTGTTTCTGAAAGTGGCACCAGGGAACTGCTTTGGAAGAACAAGATTGCCCTTATGGTTTTTGTCCTCAGAAGTTAGGGAAATTTGGTTAAGAAGTATGACAAAAGCCCCATAAGTAGCCATTTTTACCTGTAGCAAATACGGGAAGCTAGACACCTAACTAGAGATCATGAAGTTAGAATTTGTCTCCTCCTTTGGCTGCTACTTCAGCACCCGGTAGTAAATTAGAATAAAGTTCGTCATTTATTAGTGAGTTGGTTTTGCAGTCTCTAAAGCTCTTTTGCAGCTCTTCTATTCACTATGGCCTCAGATACGATAAATCTGCTAGCTGCAAAAATTCAATATACCAAGTAGAATATATGGGACCAGTCAAGTTTTAAGTTTGGGAGTGAGGAAAAGCAGCATGTATTTTCTATTTTAAATTATTTTCTTTTCACATTCTAATTTCTTAAGGGTTTGGCTTGATTTATGCCAGGTTCTGGGCCTGTAAGCCTACATTAATGCATCACAGTACTGGATAGGATATTTGATATCTCTTACTTAGCCCAGAATCTCAAATGATAAGGAGCTGTAGTTAATGATATGTAGCATTTTGTTGAACTTTACAGTGTAGTTCTCATTTAGTCCCCGTGTCTGTAACAAATGGACTCATCCTTGTGCTTTTCCATAGGTGCCCTGATGTTTACTGACATAAATCAAGATACTATGTGGCTCTATAGGGGATGCTGAACCATTTGACAGTCTAGGTGCACACAGTCACCTCACATTATTTAAGCCCTGATCTCAGCATTCTAATTTCTCTGTATTCCCCAGTGTATATAATGTGTACTTGCTTGAAATTCCTTATATATTGCTTGTACATTCCTGCTTCTAAGTTTCAGCACATACCAGTTTCTTTGATTTAGAATGCCTTCTTCTGACTGCCTTCAATCAGTTCATAAAACACATAAAGCTATCTTTTAAAAATTCAACTCAAAAGTCACCTCCTGTGGAATGCCATCTCTGATTAATCTCATTAACCTAATTCCTTTATTCTCAGACTTCTGCTTCCTAGTCCATTAAACTGTTTCATTTTCTTGTAATTGTTGCTTCTGTATATTGTCACCCAATAAGCATAATTATTCTAGGAATGATCATCTTCCTCCAGCCTCTTGTGTCTACTTATTACACACAAATATTTTGAAGGCCTATCGATGACCTTTTCAGTTTCCCCAGAGTTCCAGTTCACCTTCCTTACTGTTTCCTTTTACTTCATGGTTACATTCCTAAAGAAGCAGCGCATGTGTTCAGGGTTGGCCTCCACCTCAGCATGTGTGTGGCAGCCTGCTGAATAGATCCCTACAATTGGGAAGGAGTTAACCCTCTAGTTTGACAATCTCTGCATTCTACTTGGACACCTTCAAGAAGTAGATGTGAGACCAGGAGTAGACCTGAAAATGGGAGTAGGTAAATTTCCACAGAAAGCCAAGTTAGCTTTTTCCTTCCTTTATACACAAGACCTATGAAGCTGCTGTCATCAGCAGCTCATTCAACACTCTCCTGCTCTGCCTCTTTTCCAGGAGTCAGGGTTAGTTTAAGAAAAAGCCTCTTGCTAGAAGCCATGACCTCGTACTTTTATCCCCTCCATCTGGTGTGTGGCCTCATGGGGCTGTGCTGCTATGCAGGAGGTGAGCAATGGAATTCTTTAGATGATGACTTCTGAGCCCACATGCAGAGGCAGTTGGGGGTGGGAAGCAGGGAGAACAGTGAGAGCCAAGATCGATGGACCAAAAAGTAAAGTCTGCTTTGGGGAAGTCCTGACTATAGGTAGACTGTTTTCATGAGGTGTTCTTCCCCTAGCTCAAGCAGGGGCCCAGGTCAGGGAGCTGCAGCATCCCAGGTGTATGATGGATGAACATTGTACTTTTCCCTTCTGTCTTAACAGTTGGGGTGCAGGAGTGGGATAGGTAGCCTACGCTGTCTCTAACAGAAAACATTCCAGAATTGAACAGAAGAGTTCCCCTTGCGTACATCATCTTTTGGAGCTGCTCTTACTGTCTTGCGCCTAAACAGAGGTCCAAATTTTGGATGGGAGAACAAAGAGGGGTTGAGAGCAGCAAGTGTTTGATCAAGTGAAAATCTGCTGTCTGCCTCATCTCACAGGGGTTTCTCTGCAGGATTGAGACCCCTTGCCTTGGTGTACACAAGTTGTTTGCATCAGCTTGAGATCCCAGGACCTTTACCAGGCCATGGGTAGGCATCTATCTGGCTTGGCATGGGAGTTTCTTAGGACACTTATTCCCTGATCTTGCTTTCCTAACCCAGGAGTTGACAGCATTTTTAAAAGGAGTGAAATCTCAAAGAAAATTCTAATACATACTTTTTTTTTTTTTGAGACGGAGTCTTGCTCTGTCACCCAGGCTGGAGTGCAGTGGTGCGATCTCAGCTCACTGCAAGCTCCACTTCCCGGGTTCACACCATTCTCCTGCCTCAGCCTCCTGAGAAGCTGGGACTACAGGCGCCTGCCACCATGCCCGGCTAATTTTTTTGTATTTTTAATACAGACGGGGTTTCACCATGTTAGCCAGAACGGTCTTGATTTCCTGACCTCGTGATCTGCCCACTCGGCCTCCCGAAGTGCTGGGATTACAAGCGTGAGCTGCCGCTCCCGGCCTCTAACACATACTTTCAAAGCCCAAAGCCTTAATAATTTTCTGTCATGACTGCTTCTACTGTGTCTATACACTTAGCATAATTTCCAAAGGACTAGATAAAACAAAATTTTAATGTTAATCTGAAGGGGAAAAAAGGAATAGAATTAGGAGCCAGACTTGTTTAAATGTGGAATACTTTGTATAGTGGTCACATGGTACCGGTGGTAATAGTGGCAGAAATGGCAAAAGAGCCATTGGTTGATAAGGTTCAGGAGGGCCTAGGCTGTTCCTTTGTAAACCGTGCTCAGATATACTCTCCTGGCAGTCCTGGGACTCCTATAAGGCTTGAACATTTTGTATCAATTTCTGTTTTGAAGGTGCTGGGACTCTGGCGCCCCCAACCCTGGGCATCCTCAGGCTTTGAGGAGAATACACAAGATTTGAAGTCAGAAGACCTAGGTTTGAGTTCTGGCTGAGCCACGCACAGTTCATTTGACCTTGGACCAATCACCAAATTCTTCTGAACAGCATCTGTAAAGTGACAGTAACCCCTACCTCACAGGGTTGTTGTGAGGATTACGTATATGCTAAAGCATTCTGTATATGAAAAAGCTTCTTATGAACATTATTGTTATTCTTGGGGAAACCCCACCTTGGAAGCTGTCAAAAAGGACAACTGTAGATGAAGTTGTCTTCCTTTTTTCTTCATTCAGCTTAGCCTTTCTGTTTGGCCAGGGCTGCTTACAGGAGCTGTTAGGGTTGAAGTAAAGTCACCACATTTTGGCTCCTTTGGTCAAAGAGAAAGAACTCTAATGTCCAGCTGCTCCATCCATATACCCATAGAATGGAAGTGAGTAAAGGAAAATTTTAAGCCAGGATAGTTAACAGTTAAGGGGCCAATGGGAGAATGCTTGCCTTGCATTTGCAAATCCAGAATGACTAAAACATCTTAAGTAAATGAGGAATAGCCACAAAGATGCTCAGAGATAATATAAGCCATGAGTGGGAAGTGGGAAAATGAGTTTGTAAACTCCTCTCTTTTCTATCCCTTTACCTTTGAAGTCAGGGACAGGCATACAGCCCACTGGCTATTGCCCTATACCTATCAATCACCCAAAGAAAATAATAGCTTCTGAGAAAGCTCAATTCACTGTAGCAACTGTGATATATTTACCCTAATAAAGCCACCACTTGGTCTTTTCCAGTGCTTCTCTCTTACGGAGGTCATCCCTGGAATCCAAAGCTATCCAGTTTTCTAACCCAGTTAAGAGTTTGAAACAACCACAGGTCATAAGCAGTAGGCTTGGCAGTTATACCTTACGCAGTCATAGGAGACTGTCCCATCATTCTCAGCACATAGGGTGCACATCTCACTGTCTCCAGCATGAACCAGCCTTGTGAATGTGTACAGTCTCAGCCACTCTGCTTTGGTGATAATTCTTCACCACTGATCTCTCCTCGCCATGCCCTTTCTGCATCCTTCCCCCAAACACCCACCAGTGGAGTTCTGGTCCCCAAACCAAAGAGTTGCCTGCAGATTGGTAATGTAACTTTGTAGATATTCTTTGATTACAGCTAGACCCTATTGGTATCCTTTTTGAATTACGGGATCGAAATCTAATTGCTTTTTTTTTTAATTGTTGGGGAGAGGAGGATGAGCAGAACTCCTATGCAGCCTGTGAGAAGTTCTGTATGTGTCTATATATGTACACGTGTGTGTGTGTGTGTAACCTCATGGTTGTGCTCAGGCTGACAGGGAGGGCAAAGAGTGAAAAGGAACCATCTCTTTCTTGTTTTCCAACATTGCTTCAAAGATGCCCAACCCCCGTAGTAGCAGGCAGTTCCCAAGTGGAGGGTCGGGGCAGAGGCCTCCACCAAGGCCATCAATAACCAGGTGTGAGCTACAGGTCTCTGTGTAATGTGAAGCTTTCCCGTATTTCATTTCTGCACCCAGGGGGCGGCTCTGCAGGATTGCTTACGGAGAGCTCTGTGTCTGGCACCTCTCTCCGCAAGGCCCAGGCGCCCAGGGTCCCACCGACCTGCCCAGGAATGCATCACATTGTTCTCTGGTGCTGTAATTTGGCTGCAGGAGCTAGGCTGAATGCCTCCCAGGGATGAGAAACATACTCTCCCTGGCGTCCTCCCTTCGCCCCAGCTAGCTTGAGCTTCTGCCCTATGACCACTGAGTGCATTTAAATAAAAACCTCAGAAAGACTGAGGAAAAGAAATCCTAATTATCTCTCTTATATTAAGCCATGTAGAGACTCGTGTCCTGAGTGGGTCTGAGAATTTGGCAAAGACTTAGTGGTTGGTGTTCTTGATAAGGGAAGTGAGAGAAAGGAGAAGAAATTACTCCCTGCAACAGGGAGGAATAGAAATGAAGCGGTGAGTGTTCAGAAGTTAGATCTACAAGAAGTTTTGCAGACAGACCCTCAGGGCCAGGCAATGTTTGTTTTTGTTTTTTTTTTTTTTTAATCTGAAGCCCTTGATTTTATTTTTACAGCATCACTCTAAGGAAGAGTGTGGATTACTGCCATTATTCAGGGCTGGTAATAATAAAAGTTAGCTTTTATCTGCAGGGCTAGGTTAAGGCTGGCATTCTTACTTTTACATAAAAAAACTGGCTACAGGCTGTGCAGCTGAGGTACTTCAGTCATGTGCCTTCTCTAAAGGATTCTTAGATCCTTAAAATATATAGTATCTTTTAAGTTTGTATCTAAATAGCACTTACTGTAATGTATTATACCTAAACGTTTATTAAAAGTTAGAAGAAATGAGTACCAACAGGAAGGAATGGAAGAGAGGAGACGGGCTAAGACATTGCTGATCTGAGGGACAGACCTCTATCAAATAGAGGGCTGGGAGAAGTGGTGATTAGAAGCAGAGTGAGGGAACTAAATGGAGCCCTGACTGCACCAAATAAAGTTCTCATTTTGCTGCTTGTTCCAAATAAATTAGTGTCTGTTTGTGTAATGCAGACTAAATGCCAGTTGTCTAAAGCCAATCAGAATGCAGAAGCAAGCTAAGAACTAGGAGGAAAAATTAATTGCTTGGCCATCATTCCTTTTTGGGCCACATAACCTCTGTAGTGGGGCTCAAATGGACACCATTTCTCTCACTTATCCACTTCGCTTTTCAAACTTCTCACTCTCTGGACAGCTTGCTCTTTTCTTAACCATTTATAGGAAATTGCAAAACTTGCATCTTTATGAGCTAGAATCTGGAGCCCAAGGAAAAGCACAGAGTAGCATGAGATGCCAGAAGAGGCCCATTTCCTTCCACAGGAATGAGAACCAAAAACCAAAAAATAGATAATAGGGCATAGGTAGATTTAAGTCATGTTGACTTCCCATGGAAGGCCTATGCCATTGTTTATGTGGTAACCTGCATGTTCTTGTGAGAACAGGGGCTGGTTAGGACCTGAGTCTTTCCCCAGCAGCTTGGCATATAATATAAGGCAGCCTCCTTTGGTAAATTCATTCAGCCCTATTGTTGAGTTCAAACTAACCATGACCCCCTTACCTCTCCACTACCCCAAAGCTTTCCTCAAGATGTCAGCTCTTCTCTTCCCCTCCCATTTCCCCCTCCTTAATCCTACCATTGGCTCATCAGTTATCCAGTTGACTCCACTCTGAAGGAAGACATTCTCTTGGCCTGACTCACTCAGGCCCATTTCTCCACAGGCATCCCCTTACCGCAGACCACAAGGGCCCTAACTAGCTCATGTTTTGTGTTAATGGATGTGAAACCGGAGCAAATCCCCTCACCAAAAGAAAAACCACCCTAAACTCTCCCACACAGGTCTCAGCAGGTTACACAAATATTAGTCCTATCATCCAAATAAATCTGCCCCTGTGGCCCAGAGCCATGGCTCCCCCAGCCTCCTGCTGCCTGTGCAGAGTAAAGCTGCTTCAAAAACATATGAGGACCCCAAGGGATGTTGGAGAGGAACTTGGGAAAGACAGGGGCCTATATCCAGAATTCTTTATGCAGGCCCCTTAATCTACGGACTTTTATTAATACTTCATAGTCCTAAAGAAGGACTGTTCCTAGAGAAGTCATGATGGGCTAGACCAGCCAGGAGCTTTGGTGAAGAGGATCTGTGGGCTGGAGTTTGGGGCATAATTAAAACTCAGTATCTGACAGCTGGGCACATTGGCTTGAGCTTATATGCTCAGCACTTTGGAAGGCTGCAGTGGGAGGATTGCTTGAGACCAAGAATTCAAGACCAGCCTAGGCAACATAGCTCTATCTCTGATAACTGTGTTTAAACTAGCTGGGCATGATGGCTTGTCCCTGTAGTCCCAGCTAATGGGGAGGCTGAGGTGAGAGGATTGCTTGAGTTTGGGAATTTGAGGCTGCAGTGAGCCATGATCATGCTAGTGCACTCCAGCCTGGGCAACAAAGCAAAACCCTATCTCTAAAAGAAAAAAAAAAAGAAATAAATAAATAAAAAGAAAAAAAAGAACAGGTACGTATCCTCATTTTACAGAAGAGAAAATAGAAGCTCAGAAAATTTAGCTACCTTGCTCAAAATATCAAAAGCAAGTGGCACAGCTGTGATTTTTAACCCAGGTCTGTCATAACTGCAAATTTCTATACCACTCTGCTGCTTTAAGATATCAACAGGCAAAAGATAACCACTGCCCAAATCACATAAAAATAGGACATCAAGGTTTTGGGGACTTCATGTCCTACCCTCCAGCTTACTAAGCCTGCTATCTCTGGAGATTCCACTCTTGCAAACCTAGTTAGGCAATGGGTAATAGCATAGAAGAAACCCTCCTCTATTTAAGCTGAATGTGGACTGAACAATAATAATCACCAGGACTTGGAGAGTCACTAAATAAAGATTTGTTGAGTAAATGGAGGAAGGCTGCCTTCTGTGTATCATTTTGGCCCCAACCCGTAGCACTCCTTCCCACTGTAGCCACTGACTCCTGCTCCCAGCTTCAAAGGCTAGGATCCTCTCATAAAGAATTACCAAAGCCAGAGATCCCTACCTTCCTAATATGTACTTTTGCCTCATGTGGGCCCTTGAGATCAGACCTGCTTTCCTGCTCTCCCACCATCCATGAGTTGCCTATCTTTTACTCCGTGTTTCCCCAAATCTGGCTAACCTACAGAGTAATGCATGGAAAAAAAAAAAAAAAAAAACACAAGGCCTGGCCAGACTTACTATATTACTCTATCCTAGGAGTGTTCTAGGATGTTCTAATGATCTGTTAAGCATGGGAACCACTGCATTCCACCTCAGTTTGAACAGGCAGCAAGTAAGCAAAAGAGGCAGTGCTGTCCAATATAGGTTGAGAATGGTAGAGAGAAAAAGACAGAATGAATGTGTGTTTGTATAGTTATGATTCTTTTTCTTCTACAAAACACAGCAGTTTATAAACATATGAGCATGTGAATGGAACCTTGTCCACTATGGCTAACATCTCAGGCTCTCAATAATAGAATGTGGTAGCCTAAGATTTTCTTTTGGGGTACCAGGTAGTTCTGCTCAAACTGACTTCAGAGAACGGGCATGTCATTCATCTTTGTCCCATCTAACTTTGGCCAAGTAGAAACAAAAAGAAGCTCTCTACAGGTACCCTTCCTCTTGCACACCAAGGAAGTATCAGGAAGCTGGTGCAAAGGAAAGAAAAAAGGAGCCTCAACTACATACTTTAGTGCAACTCATTTCACTCTAAAGACCCTCTATCTGTTCTACTCTCCCTTCAAATCTCCAGAGTGGGAAATCAGGGAGCTTGCTCAGTTTCTTATATCCCCTGACAACTCCTTCCCAGGGCTAAGGAACCAGCCAGGACACCATGGTCCCTATGGATTACTCTCTACATCCTTAAACAGAAGCTGTAGCAGCCCAGGGTGGAAGGTGGAGGAAGGTGTGCATGCAAGGATCTTGTGCTTTTGAGTTGAGAGGCTTGAATTGGAGGGATGCGTGAGGTATCTGTGTTCAGGTCTGGTCCAGCCACTCTGCCTTCTTGGGGGCCTTGCAAGTATGGACGTCCACAGTATTTCTGCATTCCTTGCACCGTACAGCACAGCACCAGTGGAATTTGCACTCACACTGGGTAACACGGGTGACTCGAGTTGTGTCATACCCTCGGCCACAGCACATGATTTCACAACCGTCTGTTCCTTTTGATGTCTTGCTGCAGACACGGCCTGCAGTGCCTAGGGAACCTGGGTTGGGAAAGAGAGGGAGTGAGAACAAAGTTATCTCTTCAGCTGCCCTGGATACCCTTACCCACATTCTCAGAAGGAAGACATAAAGAATCGCTTTTTTGGGCTGGGCACAGTGGCTCACTCATGCCTGTAATCCCAGCACTTTGGAAGGCTGAGGCAGGAGGAATGCTTGAGTCCAGGAGTTCAAGACCAGCCTGGGAAACATAGCAAGCCCTGCCTCTGCAAAAACTTAAAAAATAAGCCAGGTGCCGTGGGCATGAGCCTGTAGTCGCAGCTACTTAGGAGGCTGAGGTGGGAGTAACACTTGAGGCTGGGAGGTCCAGGCTGCAGTGAGCCGAGATTGCACCACTGCACTCTAGCCCAGGTGACAGTGAAACTCTGTCTCCAAAAAAAAAAAGCATGGGCTCTGACATCATATTGTCTGGATTCAAATCCCAGTTCTACCACTCTTAGTTGTGTGATTTAGTCAAAATGAAACATTAACTTAGTTTCTCATATGAAAATAAGCACAATAATAGATTGTTAGATATAATCTCTGTTCATCTGAAGAGGTGAACTGATTACCATGACTGGCTGCAGGCATATTCCTAAGTAATATCCCTTGTATTATTATTATTATTATTATTATTATTATTATTATTATCCCTAAGCATTATCCCTTCCCCTTACAGTGGAAACTCTAGGATAGGGATCATGTTTTCCCCATGCATAGGGAATGCTTAGAACCTCATTCTGACTGATTTTAGCAAAAGAGATCCTGCCAACAGATCATAAAATCAATAGACTTTTGGATGAGTTGGGCCCATCAGAGCATCTACTCCAACCATTTCCCTGGTTAATAAGGATCCAGAGATAGGAAAGTAACTAGCCTAGGTTCAAAACGGAGAATAGATTAACTGATTTCTACAGCATTAGTCTCCACATGCCACTGGGATAGGGGAGGAAAATGCTAGAACTTCTGTTTTTTTATCTCATCAATTTAAAATATTGATGTATGTTTTCTAACATACATATTCATATAGGGGAACACAGATATAAATAAATATACATATAATGGAGATATATGCTCAAATTGTTTTAATGATAGGAGTAAAGGATCCAGAATGTCAGGAGACCACTGCTCTGGAATGTGGGCTGACTAGGTCTACTGTGTATGTTAGTCTCCTAACTCCAAGGGCTGGGTCTTAAATCCTCTTGGGCACCAAAAGCCCCTTCTACACTGTGGAGCTGTGCTGTCCAGGGTAGCAGTCACTAGTCACATATGGTCTTTTACATCTAAATTAATGAAAATTAAGTAAACTAAAAAATGTGGCTCCTCAGTCACACTAGCTATATTCCAAGTTCTCAGTAATCACATGTGGCTAGTTGCTACCGTATTGGACAACACAGATAGGAAAACATTTCTATCACCACAGAAACTTCAACTGGACTCTACTGCTTTGGAGGGAATTCCTGGCTCCATATTCTTTCTGGGATGACTTATATTCTTTGAATTCCAGGCCCTGCTTTGGGTTTTAGGAGGCCTAATTTTATGCCTGTGAGAGAAACCAACACACATTTGACTTATCCTCCCTCCTAACTCCAAAGTTCCTTCCCTAAAGGTGTATTTTCAGTATGGCAGGGTAGGTTTACACCTCAGATATTATGGAATTATTTCTAGGTATCCAGAGAGTAACCCTCTGAATTAGACCAACTGGGAGGAAAGTATACTTAGTGGCAGGAAATCACTGGGAAAATCAGGAGGACTCCGACTTTTTTTCTTCTAGCACCCTACAAGGTATACAGACTACTTTCTTCATTAATTGCGTAGAGCCCCTTCCTGTTTCTATGCCCAATTTTACTCCAAGCCACTTGACTCTTCCAGGAATGACAGTGATGGGTGAAAACAAACAGTACCGAAGATAACTGAGGTTTTTTGGCTCCACTTCACCCAAGTCCTGACTGCTGAGCCTGTAGAAAAGAGCCTGGGAGCCCCATGACAATAACCAGAGGAGAAGAGTTCTGCTGCATTGCATGTTCCTAGTTTAACTTATCTGAACCTGAAATGTGAGCCAGGATGGTAACTTTCATTCCCTTGGGGAAAAACCATATCACCTTCCAGCACCTCCAAGAATCCCACCACAAATACCTCGAACAGACTGAAAAACAACCATTTGCAGCTTTACCTGCCTTTGGTAGGGATCTCTCCTTCGTTTCTTTTTCAGCTCTGTTTCAGAATCTTCAATGGCAGGACACTGGATAAAACCTTTCAAGGACATCTTTCTAGCTTTAATCTCCCTTACAGGGAACTTTTACCCAGCAGATTGGTCTGTTCGCTGTCCCTGGAACAGGTCATGTGCTTTCCCACCTACTACTCTCATAAGAAATTGCCCACTCTTCTCTCAAGCTATCCAGATACTCCCTATGCTTCAAGGAGCAGCTTAAATTCTACAGTTTCTTTTTTTTTCCCTACATTTTCAAATAAACTTTTTTTTTTTTTTTTTTGAGACGGAGTCTCGCTCTGTCGCCCAGGCTGGAGTGCAGTGGCCGGATCTCAGCTCACTGCAAGCTCCGCCTCCCGGGTTTACGCCATTCTCCTGCCTCAGCCTCCCGAGTAGCTGGGACTACAGGCGCCCACTACCGCGCCCGGCTAGTTTTTTGTATTTTTTAGTAGAGACGGGGTTTCACCGTGTTAGCCAGGATGGTCTCGATCTCCTGACCTCGTGATCCGCCCGTCTCGGCCTCCCAAAGTGCTGGGATTACAGGCTTGAGCCACCGCGCCCGGCCTCAAATAAACTTTTATTGATTTCTCCAATCAACTCTCTTTGCATTTGTCTACCCATTATGTCTCATTTCTTTAAGTAGATTGCAAAGAGCCAAAGGGTTAGGGCTGCATCTTATGTTTCTGTGTAGCCCACACATTGCTTAAAACCGAAAACAGGTAACTAAATTAAACATTCCCTGAATAATGCCTACTGTATCCCAGATGCTGGGATACAAAGGAGTGATGCATGACCTCAGGCCCCAAGGAGCTGAGTGACCTCCTCTCTACTTGGGCAGCACTGGGCCTGGTAGACTGAGGCATAAGTCAACAATCTCATGACCAGGTGTTCATGTGGGGAGTAAACTGCCTCCTCCCACAGCACCCCCTTCCCTAACTCCTGAGACTGAACAGACCATGATTAACCAGGGGTGCCTGCACTAAGAACTGGGACTCCATGTCCCTGCCTGCCTTCCTTACTCACCTGCAGCCTTGTCCAAGACACAGTAATCTGGGGAGTTGTCAAAGTAGACAAGATCAGTTCGGGTGGCACGGCGATAGCCTTGGCGGGCTGCGGTGAAGTTGGCACCATCCTGCGTGGCCATCACCTGCACAGCCCCATCATAGCGCCGCCGCAGGTAATCACCTGTGCGGCGGAAATCTGAGAGCGCACGCCAGCAGGTGCGCAGAGTACAGGAACCACTCACGCCATGGCACTTACACTCCAGCTTCAGAAACCGCCGCACAGCCTGGAGGAGGGGGAAGGCAGTTAAGGGAGAGGTAGCTGGTCAGGGCACATTTTAGTCATCTCTAGGGCCAAAAGGATGAGTGCTCTGAGATAGGCTGGACCTGGCCCTGGCTGGCTGATTGAGCTCTTGGTTGTTCTCTCCCACATCAGATCCCACCCATTCTTCCCGATCAAGTTCAAGAAACTCTTTTTCCAGTAAATCTTCCTGGACCAACAGTGCTTTCCTTTTCATGACAGACAGCCCACTGAACTTTAGAGCCACAGGATTCTGTTCACGATAACAGTTTGCTTGCATATCCTCTACTTTTCACGTTTTAGAATGCCAGGTACCATGCCTTCTACTTTAGTAGTATGCCATTTTCCAGCATAGTACTAGGCACATAGAAGGCGTTCAAATAGCAGGGAACTGACTGGAACAACCTCTTATCCTCTCAGTCTTTATGAAAGCAGTTCTTTCCCTTCTTAAAAAGTTACTTCTTTTCTCCACCTTTTCCTACTTTCCACCTGTGTGAAGACTCTTCAGGCACCTGGTTGACCCTAGGCATTCCCAATCTCCCTTGCATTTAGTGCTCCTGTCCCAGGATGTTGGGGCTTTTGGAAGTGACCCAAAAGCCTTCAGCTCTTCCACTTTCACATTTATTTAGTCCATGGTCACACATACTGGTCACCCCCAGCAAATATGAGTGTACTTACACAGACATGAGTACTGACCGTGCGACCACAGCGGTTATTATGTAAGTTCATGAGGGCCCGGGCATCCTTAAGCCTCTTCTCCTTGGCATCCACGAAGGCCTTGGCAAAACGGACACCATAGTGGATGTTGTCACTGCAGCCACCCCAGTCAAAGTCCCCACGCTGGTCATGGTGTCGGCCACGGGTGTAGGGGTCACAGCTGCACACACTCAGTTCACCCTGGCTACAGGCACGAGTAATAGCATGGACTACCCCTGCTGATGAGATGGCATATACAAAAGCTGCTTCTCGGCTACCTAGAGAGAGAATTGTGGAGGTGTGCTTCAGGAAAGAGGCCCATGTCTGTCCCCTTCTTCAGCCCATACAACCTCTGACTCTGAAACCTCTTCCCTCCTTTTCTTTCCCAGAGTCACCCCTACACCCCCTTTATTCAAGGTGCCTTTCATTTCCAAGAGCATTCCCCAGAGTATCTGACCTCTTCCCCTCAGCCTTCACTACTCTCCATCCACTTCTTTGTATATCTGACCTTCTGAGCTGACCTATACTCTTGTTTCCTGCCAAATTCCCTGTGTCCATCCATTGAAAAGTCTCCTGGTGAATCATCCCCTCCCACTGAGTGCTAGCCCTGGCTCAGCTAAGCCTGCCTTAGTCCACATTCCAGGCCTTTTCAGGCCCACTCTGCTGGACAGTTCCCCCACAATGGAGACCCCAGCCCAGGGGTCAGCCTGTTTAGAGATCCATGCTACCTTCCCTTGCCTGCTTGCTCTCCCTCCCTGCTCTTGGAGACTGATGAATGATCGCCCCTGTATGCCTGACACCTCCAGATTCCCATTTTGTTCCCTTTCTCCTAGTTTACTGTCTAGCTCTATTTATCTTTTTTGCTGAGCTGAGGCCAAGCCACTGACTCTCCAAATATTTACATATCACCTTTCTGTTTATCTCTTGTTCCCATTACTGTAGTGCTGGGAGTGTTGGGGTGATGATAGTGATGGTGGTGTTAAGAACAGAGGGCCTATGGTAGACCTCAGCCTTACAGTACATGGTAGCCTCCCAAGCTGGGGATTGGAGAGGACAAGGAAAATGAGGGAGAAAGATGGAGGTTCTAGGGAATGCTTTACCTTGGTCTTGTCCCAGAGCACTAGGATTTAGAGGAGCCCCTGTCTACAAATCTAAGGTGCTAAGAGTCTGTTCCCAATTATATCCTGGGCTGTGCCCACAATTCTTCCTCTGATTATGAAACAGTGTGTGGGAGAGGAGAGGGGAGATCTTGCCTACCCTTTCAACTCACCACCCCCAGCACAGAAAGGGAAGGAGTTGACACAGAATGGAAGAGGCCCCTACTTCTGAGCATGACACGGCCAAAGACGGTGTGGTCCCGGTCCAGGGTGGTACAGTTCCAGCGGTGGTGGCGGAATTGGTGCTGACACTCTCGGATCCACTCTCGGGCACCCTCGCCCACTGAACGCATGATGTCTGGGTAACGCTGGCACAGCTGCCGCTGCCGGCTCACCAAACCAGGGATATTGTCACAGATCACTCGTGCCCCCAGTGCCCCAATGTACCTGCAAGGCAGAGATGGCCCTGTCAGAACATCCCAGCCCTTTTTCTGCATTGGAAGGGAATAAGGAAGGGGTACGTTTAGCATCCAGACCTTGAAGAGATTCTGTCCCCTCTCCCTAACCCACATTCCATAAAGCTGATGAGTAGAACCATTTCCCACAGTTCTGAAGAAGTATAGTTATACAGTTGCAGAGAGAGTAATTGAGTGGCCTCCCACCATCACCAGTTCCCCAGCCAAAGGCCAAAGTGACACACACTCCCAGAACACAGGCTAGGCATGTGTCACATACACAGAAGCTGTGGGCACGTCACACAAACTCATTGTTTATTTAATAAACATTAAGAGCTTCATGGAAACATAAACTAACAAAATAAGGATCTGAGACAACACTCTTATGCTCCCATTAACAGGGGTGTCCTGCATGGCTGGTCCACGAAGATATGGTTTGACAGCAGGGGAATGGTGACAGGGAGGGGCTCGTGGGAAGAGACATAGTGAGCAATTTGAGTAATGTTTACAGCTCTAGTCAGACCCGTGGAGCTAAAAAAAATCCTCATTCCCAATTGTGAGGTCTGGGGAGGAAGATCCCACTCTCTACTCTCCTCCTCAAACCCTTTATTTCCAGGCCCCAGGACCTTTCTTAACTAATGAACCTTTAAAACCATCTTCCCCAACCTGGATGGAACTGCACAGGCTGTTTGCAGTGGGAAGCCAAAGGCCAAGATAAGTAAGAGGGTGACTCCCCCCACACTCCAGTCTCCAGTCTGTCCAATATGAACAATTAAAAGAAGGTCAATTCAGATGGGCTACTAAAGAATAGGTGGGTTGCCAGAGTTATTATTGTTTCTCAAGGCAATATTTTCTCTTCACTCAGTTTTAACCCTGGATCCCACCACAAGCCTCAGGAAGAATATTTCAGAGAGAAAACAGGAGTATATCATCCATTTTCCCCAAAAGGCCACCAAATGACATCTGACCCATTAGCCCACTTCCTTCAGCTCAACAGCCCAGCTCCATTCTCATTCTCTTTCTCTCCCTTTAACCCCATAGCACCTTCCTTGATTTGCTGGGAACTTTCTATTCTCCTGTCCAGAACGCATCAAAGGGCTGTCCTCCCTCCCTTTTTTGAACAGGTGGGGGCCATGGAGAGCAATTGCTACTGCAGACAGAAAAGACTTGGTTTGAGCTATGAATGAGCCTGTGGTTTGGGAACGGCCCCAAAATGGGCCTAGAAGTGGGTGAGGAGAAGGGAGGGCAGCTGGTGTGGGGAGGGGAAAAGCTAGACTGCCCTGGGCTCTGTGTCCCCCCCTACCGCCCCCCCGCATTCCCACAGCCGGCCCTCACCCACAGACTGGATCACCACTGGTGACACCAACTCAAACAAACACAAGGAGGGCTGATGCTTGCCTCTTCGGGAACTCAGCAGGGCTGATGGGGCCCATCTGTCCCGGGGAAGGGGTGAGAGGGCTGGCCCTCCCCTAACAAATCCCATGGAATCAGCATCCCCAGCACTGTCCATCAGGGCAACAGCTTCCAGGAACAAACAAAATAAACACCCCAGACAGGGCCAGGCCGGAAAGGGCTGCCTGACGCACAGCCCAGAGTTACACCCACTGCTGTGGTGCTTTGTTTGGAGAATCAAGACCGTTGAAGTTGGAGCTTGTCCCTGTCTCACCACTGTTCAGCTTCCCTAATTCAGCCCAAGTACTGCTCTAGGCAATGGGTGTTTGTTTTGTTTTGTTTTTTTTTTTTCCTACTGGGGCTTGGGTGAGGAGGGTTGGATGGGAATGACAGACCAATAACCCAGCCCTCGTGAGACAGTCTGGGGCAGGCCAAACTCGGGCAAAAAGTCCTTCTTGTGGTCTGACTTAAGTCCATTCTGCTGCAGCCCACATAGGTCCTTTTTATTACATCCTCACTCAGTGTGGGAACATCTGTTCAGTATCTAAGATGGGAAGATAATTAAGTGTCTCTATTACCACCCTTACTCCACTATGTAACGGCCTGAAGACGCCACAGAGCAAGGCGCTTGCTTGCTCTCCAGCAGTCAGCCCCTTGTAGTTAGTGTAGGAGGCCTCCAATAAAGCTGAGCCTGAGGCTAACCCCATCTTCCTCTCAGTTCAACACCAGACTGCAAAATGCCTACCATGTGCCAAGCACTGAGCTCAGATGTTAGGGATACAAAGATATTTAAGGCATCTCCCACCTCATGGTCTGGTAGAGTGTTAGATGCCCCGACTCTAGCTTTGTTTTTTCCTTCTGGAAGTTCTTCACTTCCTTCCCAGCTTCCTGCCCCAGAATGCTTCTCTTCACCTGCTTTTGGATAATTCACATCCCTTCATTTGACAAAGTGAAGCATACACTACTCTAGCCCCTTGCTACTCAAAGCGTGGTCCCCAGAACAGCAGTATCTGTATTATCTGGGGATTTGTTAGAAATGCACACACTCAGGCCCCACCCAAGGCCTACCGTATCAGAATCTGCATTTCACCAAGATCCCCACATGGTTTGGATGCACTGCTCCACAAAGGCAGGGCTTTTTGTCAGTTTTGTTCACTTCAGTATCCCCAGTACTGAGAACAGTGCCTGACACATAGTAGGTATGCAATCACTATAATAAACACCTAACTGTTCTGATTTATCCCCAACTCCCTTCTCCCTCTAGTCAGCCATAAACTTCCATTTCCATCACAGCTTTACTTGTCAACAGTTGCCAGCCTATCTGCAGATGTTTTATGTTTGTATATTAAAGACACAAATGGGCCAAGGATCCACTTTTTTTTTCTTTCCTCCTTTCGTGTACAGCCCCTAGTGTACATGGTTCAGCCCACCACATATAGGACTTTGAACAAAGGGATAACACTATTAGCCTCCATGAATCTGCTCTTAATGCATCACTTTCATTTGTGAAATAAGGATGATAATTATAGAACTTATCTCACTGGATTATTTCAGATTGACAAAGATCATGCTCATAAGGTGTTTGGCCATAGTACCTGAAGCTCAGTAAGGGCTTATTAAAAGTAACTGCTGTTGCTAACAGTAATGCTAACAATATGACACCACTTTGTGTTTATCTCCCTTTGTGAGCTTATGAACACAATCCTGTTCTCGTGATTCCCTACATCCAACCCCCTACAGAATGCAAAATGGAACAGGAAAGCCCATGCCGGACCCCCCTATTTCTTGGTCTGTTTAGGATAGATAGAGGGAGGGCAGTGGTTAGAGAGTAACGGGAAGAATCTCAAGCTATAAGAAAAATCCAGCTATTAACTGGTGAAAATGATGGCCTTCTGCTCCAGAGTGGAACATGGACGCACCAGAGTCAATACGCATTTCTCTTCCAAGGGTTGTACGAACATCAGTCTTGCTGGTTTTTTCCTAAGAGAAAAGCTTGGGGGCTTAGCCTGCCTTTAGAAGGTAGCTTTTCACCTTATCCCACAAGTGGTGATCACTGAGGCAGGCATCTGGGCCTGTAACTATGACAGGTGTAGAGCAAGGAGGCTGAAACAACCTCTGTACGCACTTCCCAACCTGGCCCTGTTGCAGCCTTCCTCCTTTTCACAAGGGCTGCTAAGTCACTCTGTGTGTCACCTCCCTCCCTCCCTAGCTCTTTCACCCAGGAATTTTTTCCAGAATCTTTAAGATGAACCACATCAGGGGAGGGTAGTAGAGGGAGAAAGGAAAAGGGAGAAGGAGTAGTCAAGGGTACAAAATGGGGACTGGGAAGACCCCCATTTGGGTCTTTAGGAACCGCTGCCAGGATGCTGAAATTACCAGAGTGACACTTCCTCACCCAAACACCAATCGGTCCCCCAGACTACATCCCAAACTGGTAAGAAGCAATCAAGAGTCCCAAAAAGCAAACTGCCATCTGGGCCAGAAAAAGATGGGCAGTGGTCACTTCACGTTATCTCAACAAAGACCCTAAAGATGCCAAGTCCCCAGCCAGACCAAGCTCATGAAGGCAAAAGGTGGCTTTGATCTCACTCAAAACTTTGAAAGGTTTTTCTCATCCCCCTTCTCCCCTTTCCCTTTCTAAAAGAATGTTTCAAGCCAGATGTAAGATATAGGCCTCTCTGTTCCCCCATCCAGAACCCCCCCTCCCAGCCTTCCCCAACACTACAGAGATTAAAAAAAAAATCCAAAAGAGAGATTTTTCTGAAACAGGAAAACAGGGAGTGGGGGTTGGGATGAGGAGAGACGCATCTTGAAATGATAGGAATCTGCAGCCCAAGCTGGCGGCCCCTCGGCCAGCTACCCCTCACCCTTCAGCCAAGATTCCAAGTCAAGAGAAGAAAAGCCACAGGGTGCAAGGGGAGAAGAGACTACACTTGGGGGAGGGGGGCTTACACGGGAAAAAGAACGGAGTTAGGAAAGGAAGGGGGGCACTGCATGGTGGAGAGGGGCAATAGCCCACTCCAACAGGCCAGTTTGATTGCGGGGTGAAGAGGAAAGACTGAGTCTTTTCTAGGTTCAACTCTCCCTGCCTTGCCCTCTCCCCAGGGTGGGGAAGAAGAGAAAGCAGCTCCTTCTCCTACGGGGAGGTGATGAGTGCCATCCAAGGAATAGTGGGCAGGGAGGATTCTAAAAAGAACAGACACCAGACATCCAGTGGATCTGTAACGCCTTTTTGCCTCATCTGCCCTCTTGTGAAGTGTCTGGAGTCTAGGGCCTGCAAGAAATCTGGGGAGGGGTTCTCTTAGTACCTTTGGACTCCGCAGCCTTCTGGCTCTTGGAGGGGAGAAATGGGAGATAGGAAAGAATAGGAAGAAGGGAGGGAGACAAATTTTCCAAGTGACAGCCTCAAAACGGTGGCCAAAGACAAACGCCTAGATAATGCAAACCCATGCATTTTGTTTTAATTGTGGGAGTTAATGGGGTAAATTTTGCCTCGATTTCATTTCTAAGCCTCGGCTGGGTGCTGCTGTCTCACCAAAGCCTTCCTGTGGTATGGGTGGGCTAGACTAGCGAGCTGCCCCTTTCTCCACCTCTCAGAGGGCGACCTTAGACGTTTGGGGCTCCGGCGAAGCTATTGCGGCCCCTGGAAGGTCATTGGTTCCTTGAACTCACCCTGAGGGAAACTCGGAAGGTAGCTTCTGCCCTAAGGAGCTTGAGCTGAAATAGAAGGGGTACAGCACACGGAGGCCTAAGGAGCCGCGACCACCGGGCGTCCTGGCTCCAAATGCCCCGCGCCTTTCTCACCAGGCGTGTAAGACGCGGCGCCTCACCCTCCCTCCACCCCGGGACTTCAGATTTCAGTGACAGTCCTGCCCGAATGTTCTCCAACTCCGTCGAAGCGACAGCCTGGTCCAGTGAGCAGCCAATCCCTCCAGGCGCCTCCGGGCCTCTCCTACCAAGCGCCTCACCCGCCCAGCCTAAGAGCCCCACTTACCACCAGGACGTGTCTACGCGGGCCGGCAGCGTCAGCAGCAGCAGGAGCAGAAGGCAAGCGAGACCTAGGCGGGCCGAAGCCCGGGAGCCGTCGGGGGCCGCAGGCGAGGGCACAGGGACCGGGGCACGGGCGCGCCGAAGCGGGAGCTGCGCAGCTTCCTCCGCACCACTCGGTCTCAGCATAGCTCCCCGAAGACTCCCGCCGCGCAGCCCGGAGGGGCGTGGACGGGGCACCTTCTAGGGGTACTCACGCTGCTCCTACCTCACCCCCCTGGGGGGCCATGGGGTTCGCCGGCGGCTGGGGACCTAGGGTCACCTGGGGTCCAGAGCCCGGGAGCAGGGTCCCAGAGAGGGGCGCAAGTTGCAGTGTCCGGAAGCCGACGACGGCGCGCCGAACCCGGGATCTGGGGCCCGCTGCCTGAGCACCGGGTGCGATGTCAGGGGGTCTGCGGCGCAGAAGGGAGCTGCGGGCCTAGTGTGCGGACAGCCCCTTCGGCCGCGGGCTCTCATTGGACGGGGCGGGGCGGGGCCGAGGCCGGGGACACGCGCGGCCCTTAGGGCGGCTCCGCCCGCGCCAAGCCCGGGGCGCTCCGCGGCGCCCTAGGTGTAGCGGCCGCCTCCGCCCCTCGGGGCTCCAGCGCGCCACCGCACCGCTCCCCCACCTGCTCCCGCGCGCTGCGACGGGGCGCCGCGGCTCCCTCCTGCGCCCGGAGCGCCCAGTCCCTGCCGACACCGCGCCACCGGGTCCTAGCGCCCTTCAATCGGCAGCCCCACTTCTGTGGGTGACGGCCAGGCTGGCGGAACAAGGGGATGCGGGCACTTCCCTCCTGTCCCCAACCTACAGTGACACTGGCGCTGAGCACGGAGGATGCACTCATTTCCTCCATCCTTGCGCTTCTGTGAAATGGGTGGAGTCCCTGCCACCGGGAGTTGGGGGTCTTGACTACCTTTTCAACACTGTCTACAGGGGCGCCGTGGGCAGTCGGCTTCGGGCAGGGGATGCTTTCAGCTAGAGCTCATCGCCCTGCTTCCTCCGACCCACTGCACCCCCCACCCCCAACGCATCACGTTTAGACCTGGCTCCTGCCTGCCCGGCCTGCGCGGCCCGGGTGCTTTTCTTTACCGACCGGGAATCGACTGCCGACGTTAAGGGGGCACCTGCGGACTCCCCGCCCCTTACGCCCGGGCTCGGCGGAGCTCAGTCTCTCCCCGCTCCCCCTCTGTGCCTCGATCCTCCACCCTCTCGGGCGGGGCTGAGAGTATGAAAGAATCAGAAACAGCTGGAAGGTTTTCCCGCACCAGAGGCCAGGGTGGGGGTCCTGCCGAGAGGGTGGAAGCCCTGGAGCTTTTTCCCTCCTTCGCCTTCCCATCGTGCCTCCTCCCCACTGCTCTCTCACCCTCCCTCCGCCCGCAGATCGCCTGGGGGCGTGGTAAATCGGGAAGGGGTGGGGAGGTGCAGTCTGCCGTAAGTGACTCTCCTCTCCCCACTACCCCAACCCTCAAACCTCCCAGGATAGCAGGTACAGCCCCTGCGGGCACAGTGGCCCTTGGAACTAAAATTCTTTTTAAAATCCTTGGCCTTCCAACTTCGAGAGTTCAGAATTCACCTGGGGTCCCGCTCCAGTCCCTTCTTCAGCCTCAGTTTCTCCCACCTCGCAGGTGTCTTTCCTGCCTCGTCATGTGATTTTAAAGTCCTGGTGTAAACAACTAACTAGTTACTGCCGATGCTCCCCAACCCCAAATTCACTGTCAGTCCTTGGCTGGGGGTTGGGGGCGGTGGTGGCGTTAGAGGTGCCTCCCGAGTGTAAGCAGATGAGGTGCAGCTGGCTTAGGTTCAGAGGAACCTAAAGTTTTCTCGAGAGGGGCAGGTGGGAGAGGAATGAGCCCAGGCTCATTATTGCTTGGGCCCCTTTCCTTGGACCACTCTTTCACCTCCTCCTTGCCCGGCCCCATCCCTACACAGGGCAGACATCTCAGAGACAGAGATAGTGGAGATGGTTTCAGAGGAACTTGTATCCTATCTCCCACCGCCTCCTGGTCCTAGCGCCCCTCACTCCACAGCCCCATCTTCTGTGGGTGATGGCCAGGTGGGCAGAGCGGGAAGGAGCTGCAAGCACTTCTCTCCTGTCCCCAACCTACAGTGACACTCCTTTACCCCCACTTTCTGTGGTAAGGTGCTGAGTGCATTCATTGATTTAACAAATACTTATTTCCTATCACATGCCAGGACTGTGCTAGGCATTAGGGGCACATTGGTGAACAATCTATGCCCTCATGGAGTTTGCATTCTATTGCAGGAGGATAGACCATAAACAATAAACATCAGAAGTAAAACAGAGCATGTTAGAAAGTAGTAAGTGCAGTGGTAAAGAGAGCACAATCAAGGGGATGGTTACAGTTGCAACTAGGGTGATCAGGGTAGGCCTCATTAAGGTGACATTCAAACAGAGATTTAAAGGAGGTGAGGAAATGAGCCAGGCAGCTTCCTAGTGAAGAGCATCCAAGTGCAGAGCCAGTACAGGGACCCAAAGGCAGGAGTGGGCTGGTGTATGAGGGCTATCGAAAAGGCCATCCAGCTGGAGCGGAGTGTGCCACGAAGGAAGAGAATTCAGATGAGTCCCTGAGGTGCTCCAAGTCATGAATGGGAGGCAGTGCTCCCCACTTGGGTGGAAAGTGGGGGCTGGGCTGGAGTTGGATGGGAGTTGGAGTGGACTGAATACAGAGACCTCTCAGGGTCGACTTCCTGGCACAGAAACTGGGACTATATCCTTTGTGACCAACCAGCTAACTTGTTTTCTTCCCCTTCTCTCCCTTTCTTTTTGTCAGGCGGGCTCCAGTTGGCCCGGCTATTTCCTTAGAAAGGCACAGACGCTGTGCCTAGTTTTCCTGAGAGGGGCAGGTGGGAGAGGAATGAGCCCAGGCTCATTCTTGGCTGGGCCCCTTTCCTTGGACCACTCTTTCACCTCCTCCCAGCCCGGCCCCATCCCTACACAGGGCAGTCTTGGAGCTCCAGCAGCCTCTCCCAGACTCCCCTGTGTGTTTAGACCTGGGTGTGACTCTGGCCCTGTGTTTATTTCTACATATGGGCCTGGGGTTGGTGGGAAGAGCTGGGAGAGAGAAAGTTGGCTGAATATGATCACATCAGCCCTAACCTAGAGTGGACTCGCCCACATGAGCCCCCAAATCACTTCAGAGGCCCCTTCTTTGGCCTGAGCTGTCTTTATAGTCAAGTGGGACTGTGTCTTGGCACAACACAGATGCTCAAGTATTAAAGCATGTTTTTGAGGCCCAGGCTTGGTGACTTACGCCTATAATCCCAGCACATTGGGAGGCCGAGGTGGGAGGATGGCTGGAGCACAGGAGTTAGAGACTAGCCTATTCAATACGGTGAGACCCCCCCAAAATTTTTAAATTACTCAGGTGTGGTCACGCACACCTGTGGTCCCAGCTACTTGAGAGACTGAGGCAACAGGATAGTTTACGCCCAGGAGGTCAAGGCTGCAGTGAGGCATGAATGCACCACTGCACTCCATCCTGGGCAACAGAGTGAGACCCTGTCTCAAAATAAATAAATAGAAATTTAAAAAAAATTAAAAGCATGTTTCTGAGCTGAAGGGCGGTGGGGGCCAGGGGCAGGGGGTGGCCAGAAACATCAGCAGCTCTGAGAGGGAAGGAAGTGGGTGAGGGGACTAGATTTCTCTCTAAGGTTTACAAGTCACCTCTGCCCCCAGAGTGGACAACCTAGGCTGGGGCTTGGCTCCTTCTGCTGCTTCGTCCCCTCTCCTCTGAGTCCCCCGCTCCCCAGGAGGAATTCCAGGCTGCAGGAGCCAGCTGACTGCAAGAGCTGCACTCAACCACTTAACTAGAGAACAAATATGGAGCCAGAGAAGAGGTTTTCTGGGATCTGCCTCTTTGGAGCTTCAAATCTCAAAATAAACTTCCAGTCTCAAGGTCCTAGACACTACTGGAGAGCTCAGCTCCTCACGCAAAGGCCTGTTGTGGGGCTGCCAGGCAGAGGGTCAAGGCCAGAGGCTCAAGCTAGCTCCTGACCTGCATCTTCATTTTATTCCACACTGTCACTCTCAGTTCTGGGAGCCAGAGGGAGGAGTCACTGGTCTGAGAGTTAAGTTCTGGTCTGTAGAACCCTGCATGGAGTCAAGTCAGCACTTACTGAGCACCTGCTGTGTGCCCAACACTGGCCAGGGTATCCTAAATAACAAGGAGCAAAAGGCATTACGCCCAAGGCATTTTCATGGAAATATAATAAAACTGTCTGCTGGTGGCACACTAGGCTCTGCTGAGGTTCAAGGGTTGTGCTGCAGACGTGGTGAACTGTATCAGCAGAGACCTGAGGAAGAATCCCAGGTCCCCTCAAGGCTGCCAGGTCTACCCAGCCAGCAGAGTCGGGTCCACCCTCTTCCTCATAGTGGCACTAGAGCCTCCTTCTGTCCTTTCCAAAGTGGGTGATCAAAGAAGAAGGGTCCACTCTCACCCTTGATATCACCTTATGCTCCGCTCTCTCGTGGGGCAGAGTTAAGATTTCTCTTCACTCTGTTCTCAGCTATGCGTGGCTGAATGATTTTGAATTTTTGCTGGCCCTTGGATGGGAGGGGAGATGAGCTAAGGGGAGCTGGGGTGTGGGTAAACAGCTCTTACCCCGCCCTGCTCTATCCTCCAGAAGGCTCCCCTTCCCTGGGCCCCTTTGGCGATGACCTTCTCTTTTTCCCGGTGGGTGGGAGGTGGTGTGGATGGTAATGAGCAGAGAGAAAGGCCAAGAAGGGGCTGGGGGGAGGTTTGGATGGGAGTCAAGGAATTCCTGAGCCTGCTGCTTGCACAAGGGGCCCTGAGACGCCTTTCCTGAGATTTCTTTGCAAACCGAGGCAGGTCTTATTTGAAATAGGGCCAGGTTCACACAGGTAACTAATGCCTCACCTCTTGCCCTGCCACCCCATGCAGGTGTCTGGGGAAGTAAAGGAAGCTTGGGAGGAACCCAGGAGCTGTTAAAGGGTGGGGGGGCAGGGGGGAGAGTGGGGATCCACGCTTTGTACACAGCCTGGCTGGCCTCTCCTTGGTATTTATGAGCTCTTAGGCGAGGCGTGGAACGTGTCTCAAAGAGGCCAGACCAAGAGGGCTTTGGAGGGAAGGAGCATCCAGCCCCAAACCAGGAAAGGGGGCTTGATGGACGAGGACCCCTTTCCTCACAGCTAGTGGCTAAACTGGGGCACAAACTGCTCCCCTGAGGACCAGGAAGAAAGGAAGAGAGGGATCTAAAGGGGAAGGAAGAGAGGAGGCTTGGGGAGGTGAGATGATGGGGGCAGGGAATGGGGGTGTCTGGAGCCTTTTGGCACTTTGGCTGTAATCAGACTGGAGCCAGGCGGTGGGCGGGCTGACGGCCATTCTGGGCGGGTGGCCCAGGTTCTGTGTGAGGCCAGTGGGTGTGCTGCTGGGATCCTGGGTGGTCACTGACCAGCCTCTCCCCAAGGGAGGGTTCCCAATCTGCCTGTATCACACAGGCTAAGCACTGAGCTCTCTTTCTCTCCCTACCACCTGTTCTGGGCCCTAGAATGATAAGTGAGAGTTGTTTCCAATGGACAAATATCTGCAGAGGGCATGGCCTGCCTCCCTCCCACTCTGCCTTCCTCAGTTCACTCTGCCTCTTGTTCTCATACTCTCCCCATGTCTCTTCTCTGAGTCTCCA